TGGAAATGAAATCTGTGTAAATAGGGAAGGGCGGAGGGGGTGAAGGGCGCAGAGGTAATGGGGGAAAAAATAAGAACCAAGATATATCATGTACAGGTACAAACACCCAATGATAAATGTAAACGAATTGTATACCTAAAATGTACCAATAAAAGAACTTAGAAAAAAAATAAAGTATTACTGATGATGAATAACAATGATACTACTAACATTTACTGAGCAATCACTAAGGAATAAGCACTATGAGGAGCCTGTTCACAAATTAACTTAGTAGATCCTCAATTTGCAGTCCCTCTGCACTATTACCCTCTCTAGCTCCCCTCAAGGAATCTCAAAGCTTGGCAGGTGTCCCAGCTCTTCTCTCAGTCTCCCAGAATCCTTCTGGGATGTTGCTTCCTGCAGATTTGGGCCACTGTCCTCTCTTGTCCTGGTGACGGCGGCAGTCCCTTGTCTTCTGAAGTACACATGGGCCTTGAGGACATAATTCCTCTGGCTGAGACACTGGAGTCCTAGAGCAGGAGCCCCATTCTGACCTGTCTGTGCTGGAGCCCACCTTCTCCTTGATGTCCACTCTGCTCACTGAGCCTGCCCTCCTTCTCTCAGAGCTGTCCATTCGCCTGCTCCCCTTTCTTTTCCACAGTGGCTTCCCTGTTCAGATGCAGCCATAGCACATACCTTTGTGGATTTGTGGATATTTTCACACAGGATGGAGGACCTGCGCAGCTGCAGCTGCCCTAGTGGTCCGCAAAACTCAATATACCAACTTCTTGCCCTTAGCAGATCGTATTCTAAGTTAACCATTTAATTACCCATTAGGCTTATTACTCTGTTTTCTCTATAGAGGATAAATATGTGAGGGCTGTTATCTTTGTTTCTTTTGATCACTGATGTGTCCCCAATAGTAAGACAGCACCTGGTACACAGATGGCACCCAGCACGTATTTGGTGACCATATGTGTGAATGAACTGGAGAGTCACTGAACAACTTTCCCAAAGTCACTGGTGACCAGCCAGTCACCTCTTGGTGGCCAAATTCTAACCTAGGCAGACTGAAAGACGGAGATCTGCTCTTACTTAGTGGCCCTCCCTGTCTACCCTATCCACCAGTGCCTTCTGCCTCACAAAAAATGAGATTTCTGCATCAGCTCATAGCAATCAGATAGGAAAAAAATACATACTATTATCAGCTCTTAATCTTATTAATATAAGCAAGAAAGAAGGATGCATGCTTCTGACTATAGGACAAATTGCTTCTGAGCAAGTTCTAGAAACAGAGTCACCCTCAGTATGGGACTGGAAAAAGTAGAGGCATTCAGTGGTCTGGCTGAGTGCTCATCGCCTGCACCAGTGACCTGCCGAGTGCAGCAGGAACTCTGGGGACTGCAGCCACCTCACAATACCATCTGAACCTGGCCTGATGACTTCACAGGCACCTGGCAGAAAGTCACAGGGTGGATCCTCGTGAGGTCAGCTGAGTAGCTATGGTGTCTAGATTTGCTTTTTCTAAGAGAAACATCAAGGATGGAGTGCTAAGCTGACACTGCCGTCCTGAGAAGGTATTGAGCATATCAACAAAAACATTTAAATAACAAAGCTGCAGAACAGAGCCAGGAAATTTACACTGGAAATATTAATATGTAAATGGGTTAGACAAACAGTGTGTTTGGAGGAGTCTCTGTTGATCTGTTTAATCAATGTGGAGAAGAAAAACAGGTGACTGAAGCCAAACATTTCACTTGGCACTTGAACTAAATCAGTTGGAACAGCTCTGACAAGCTTATTTTGATGGGGGGGAAATCTAGAAATTTTAGAGGAGAAAAGAGCAATCTTCGTACCATAAAGAGAATTTGTCTATATTCATGTCTCTGCTTCTACACAGTTTGATTTTTCTTTTTAACTCCAGTGTTGGCTCTTTATTTTCTGCAGTCAAAACATTCGGCATTATTTTGGGGAATCTTATACAGCAAAGTGAGAACAGTTGCTTCTCTTAGCAAATAAATACTATCCTCAACCTGTAGGTGTCGCTGTTCACTTATCACAAAATCACCCCGGAAGCCCAGGAAATTACCTCGGCTAAAATAACAAGCGTGTTTTCTGGAAATAAAATAACCAGTAAGTACTGGGAAAGGATTATTTTATTTCACAGGTGCCTCCAAATCAAAGCTGAAGTGTGAACAACAATTCACTCTTTCTGTGGCCTCCCACGTAGTATTTGCTTCCAGAACTTTAACACCATTGTGAGGTTCTTTCTAAACCATGGCTGTGCCTCAGCCCTAACTGCCTGACCCCATGAACATTTCCTGGTTGATTTTGCTTATAAAGTACATTGACATTTTCAGATAGATGCAGTGGAGTTTTCTTGTATTTCAGCCTAAATTGGAAAGCAGTATCTACTGCTGCCTACATAGAAACACAACTCATATGTCATAGATATTTAAATGAAACATTTAAGTGCGTCTCAAAAAATATGCTAAATGCAAACACATCATTTGGACATAGAATTATATGCTCACACATTGACACATGCATATAACGGTCATTACTGTTCACTGGATAACTATGCAATAAAATACTAGAGATCCTTCACTGATCATAATGAAGTAGACCCCCTCTTAAATGCTCCTTTTACAAATGAGGGCACAGAAGCTTAATGAGAACAGTGAGATCCCTAGGATACAGCAGGACAAAAGACTCAATCACAATTTTGAGCCCAGAGCACAAGTTACTAACCACAACACAAATTGCCTTTTCTCTGACTTTCATAAGGAAAAGAATTTTGATTCTGTTTTCCTAGAAAAGGGTAAAGTGCAAAACAGGCCTGAGTTCCACTTCTGCTTTCTCCACTTACTGTCTCTCAGTTCCTCTTTTCTATACCATAACATGGGTGAGGTTAGCACCTACTGCGGGCTTGCTGTAGGGGTTGGAAATATGTGTAAAGAAATGTCCTGGCACAATGCCTGGTACCTCAAAGACTCTTGTTTCTAAGCTTTCTAAAATTTAGAGACTTGATTTTAAAAATAAATAGTGAATACACAGTAAAATGTTCTTCTCCCAAATGTTTCAGGGGAGGCCAAGCATCAGAAGTAGTTGTCGAAGGAATAAGGGCAGGTAGCTTAAGGGGACAAAGTATAGGATGCCCACAAATGCCCACTGATGCCTGGCATAGCCCTGGACTGCAGGTGTCATGAATAGTATTCTTTTGAAAAATTCACATCCTGATTTTACACATGAGGAAACTAAAGCCCAGAGAGAGTAAGTTACAGGGGTAAGGTAAGAACTGAAGAGAGAATTTGAATGCATATTTGCTGGCCCTCAAACTTTCTCCTTATTTCATTTGCCATACTAAGTAATGTGCTATAGTACTTTTGATTTTCCTCAATCCTGCAGGATTTGTTTCTCTAAAAGTCCTATTCTCTTTTACTTTAACTTCGTACCTGAGCCACTGAGGACAAGGAGGAGGGTGACTAGGGGAGCAGGGAAAGAAAGGTATGCTTTTCCTTATACCTTTGGGTGCGATGTAAGAAAATAACTTGAAATAACTTGTTTCCAGGTGAGACTTGGCCCTCCAGTCAGCTTGAGGGTGCCTGAGGATCCACACACAACAGCATCACGAATAGTCAAGGCATTATTCATTACTATGGGGCACTGAAGTATTAATTTAAATATTGGTGAATTCTCAACTGATAGGGAAGTACTTAGGCCTCTTTGAACAGCAAAAATCAATCTTTCTAAGTAGTTAACCAGTGGAGGTACAGTTTCCTTCCAAAAACTGCAGAAAAGTGGTCAGAAGGGAATTGGGTATTAGCAGCGATGCTTGCAGTTTAACTACTTTCTGGGGTCATAACCAATACCCTGAGCTCATGAAGAAATTGCATTTATTCTTCACCAAAAGTCAAGACAACATGAGGGTGGTTAGAGAGCATGCTGTAACTTCTACAAATGCCAGTTGTTTTTCCATCCCTCAGTACCATTACTAAAGGAATGTAGGCAACTCTGAGGTCAGAAGGAACTGGGTCAGAAAGTTAGCTTTACTTCTTCCATTTCTAACTCTAGATTTGGTATACTTTTCCAAAGGGACCACATTACATATTCAGAGATAAATTAAAGCTTGCATAAATTTAACATGGAAAGAAACTATGTACAGTGTCTACACAGAATGAAGCACAAAGAGTTAAAAAGCTGTAGAAGAATGAATTAAAATGTTGAAATACATTCTTCATAGATTATCTGGTTATCTATAATCTAACTATAGATTACCTGGTTTATTCTAGATTCCATTTTAGTCAGAGATTTCATAACAGTAAGTAGTGATGAATATATTTTTTGTTACATTCTTAGGCAAAACAGTATACATAATAATGGAAAAAAGCTGAGAATTTAATGAATTTTATAAGTAAAAGAATTTTGATAAACAAGAACTTAAATTCATTAAGACTTTTTATACAGAATTTTTATAAATAGGTTATTATGATAGAAACATATCCATTAAAGGAAAATATTTTTCAGATTTTATTTCAAGAAATCAACTTGAGAAGCTAGTGTGGGACCCACATAAAAGATGCTAGCCAATGGTTCAACTTAATTGTCCAGTTGAAAGCAAAACAATAAAAACAACCTAAAGCAATTAACCAAGAAAACAAAAATAAAATCTTAAGGAAATTAACCTTATGCCTGTCTTCCTTTTCTCCTTAAGTAATGCCATACATTAGCTTTTATGTTCCTGGGACACCCACAACTTAACGGAAAAAAGGTTTAATTTCACTCATGATTTCAGGGGATTCAGTCCATAGTCAGCTGGCTATAAGGCAAGTACATCAGGGTGGAAGGGCATGAATAAAGCTTCTTAGTTCATGGCAGCAAGGAAGTAGAGCAGGGAAACAGTGCCAGAGAGGAAGGGGTGAGGGACCAGACATAGGACCCAAGATCATGCCTCCATGACCCAGCCAAGCACATCCAGAGTGTGCTTCCTCAATGCCTTGGGTGGCTCCCAAAGCCAATCAAGTTGACACAATCAAGCTCAACTGTTGCATGCCTATACAGTATTCTTGTACATACTCTTTCTGGTTATATTACATTTTCTTGGACATAATGGCACACTCCCAAGTGCAGTAATCCCAGCACTTGGGAGACTGAGGGAGGAAGATTACTATGGGATCGAGGCCAGCCTGGGCTACCTAGTGAGTTCAAGGACAGGCTGAACTACATAGATAGACCCTGTCTCAAAAAAAGTCTATATTACATTTTCTTTTTTATTGTTATCCCTTTCTCTATACGAAGAGAATTACGGAAAAGGAGGACATTTTTTAAAAAGAAAAAGGAAGGAAAGAAGGAAGGAAGGAAAGAAGGAAAAAGAAATAAGATGCCCCAGAAGAAAATGACTTATGTTTTTACAGCTGCTTCTATGCTGTCAATTTCCAAATGAGAAATCATGCACTGGCCTTGCATTTCAGACTTCAATAAATAAATGGGGATGGTGCCAATGATCGAGATGCCCTTTTCTAGTGTAGCAGACATCAACTGCCACATCACTCACAGCATGTGAGCCAAAATATGAGACAAGCTGGGCATGCATTCAGATATTTTATTTGTGACTTTTCGAAAGCATTTATATTTCCTATAAATCCATTCACATCTCAGCAACGTATTAAGTCAGAAGTGCACTGACACAGTGAGGCCTTGAAACATTGAAGGCTGCAGCACTCTCAGAATGGACTTGATGACCACAGTGGGCTGGGGGATGTCAGTATCTTTAATTTATGACAACATTACATGGGTTTGGTTTGATGTCCTTATCTGAGAAAATGTGGCCCTCAAATGAAGAGTGGGGTGTGACAGTTGTTTTTTCCTGTCTAGTGTCAGAAGGGTTATCGGGTTCTCCCTTCTCTTTGTAACACACAATGAAGTGTCAGCACTCAAGCAAATGGATAATGGGTGGATGTTGGCAGCTCTCAGCTTCCATGTGGATAATGTGGAGTGAGTGCTGCGATTCAGTTTGGCGTTGTAACCGCCACAATCTTATTTGGGAAGCTTTGTACACTTATCCATGCATGAGGAACACTTATTTTAATGAGGTGTTGTCTACGTTTGTTAAGCTCTGCAATTCAGAAGACAAAGTACATTTAAAAATTCCTTGATTTGGGACCAATGACAAGCACAACCTCTATAGATTTATGCTATTTGTCAATCCCAACTTGAGGTTCATAAAATTTGCTGATATCAGGTTAAAACTGCCCCTTTTGAGAAGCATTCCCTGGCACCCTGGCTGGAGCAGGTGCCTCCCCTCCCTCCTTTGCCCATTAGTCTCCTTGCTGCATCCTGTTTACTCCCTCACAGGATGTTCTTGTCCTTATCCTTGCCCTCAGAATCACTCCATAATTATGTGTCTCCACCATGTCTGTGAGAGGGAGAGAGAGGGGCTGTGCCTGGGCTTCATCATTGTTTATGAATTGGCTAGAAAAGTCCCCAGATTACAGCTTGCACAGAATGCATGTCAATTGACTGAATGAATATGATTTTTATTATTAGATATCTGGCTCTATTTATTTATCTTTTAAGTCTACAGACAAGAAATGAGTACACATAAGCTAGCAGGGGTCAGTGAGAAAGAACAAGGCAAGTTTTCAGACTGGAGGACAGTATGTAGTGTTGAAAAATAAGATGAGGCACATTACAATATTAAAGAGTTGTGAACTGACTCTTGGCTGCTTGGAAGGGGCATGAGGAGGAAAAGGCTTTCCTGGGTGAATTCAAGAGGAAGGCAAAGACTTCATTCCAGCACAAAGCCCTGGTTAGGGGTAGTTGGCCTACACCAGGACCTCTGAGTTGGCTTTCAGTGTTCTGACACAAAGATCTGGGGAACTGGGGCCACTTCAGCACAAGGCCTCCCTTTAATTATTTTAATGTAGGAATGACCAAGGCACCCAAACAGTCCTTTGTGTGTGGTGACAGTACTGTGGCCACAGCCTACACCAAAATGGGGAGTGGAGAATTGGGGGAAGGTTTAAAGAAAATCTCTGGAAACAGTCTAAGCACAGAAGGAAGGAGAGTCTCTAGGAGTGAGTGTTACTTACTCTAGGGTCCAGAAGCTACTTTACATTTGGATTCTGAAGAGTCGGTCTCTAAGATGTGAGAACTTCCTTATTAAAAGTGTTCTGAAAAGACAGACTGTGTAGGGGGTGTTAGGTGAGTTTCTTTGTTCTTCTGTTCCTGTGACTTGCCTTCATTGAGCATCTATTTATTGAGGTGGGGATGATTCTGTCTCTGTCTCTTTCACACACACACACACACACACACACACCCCACCACTTGAAAATGGGAAGAAATTTTACCCCAGGGAGGTTAATACAATGACTAGTAAATGGAGAGCTGTGATTAAATGCAGGCTGGTTTGATTACAGAACCCCAAAGCCTCCACTGACTTACAAGTATGTTCGTGAGTAGACAGTGCTGAGTACTGTAACACTGTCTGCTTTATTCCAGGGCTTTGGTTTATAACATCAAATGTGGCCTCTAGAATGTCACTGCATCCATTAAAATCCTGATGTGAAACTCTACAATTCCTATCAGTCCTATCTACCAGTAGTCCTTTATCAAGAGTTTCCAATGGCTTATTCAGGGGTGTTAGGGTGAGACTTAGAGAGAGACAGCAAAGGTCTACAGTTCAATCTGTGTCCAAGGCTGTTTCCAACATGTCTCAGTTGTCCTTGCATTTTGAGATCAGAAGCCACTGATTTTCATTTTTGATGCATCAGATCAAGGGCCAGTCGCCACAGCTGCTCCCTGTCAGACTCCACAAAGGTGCCTCATCCTCACCAGTGAAGTGTCTTCTGATGGAAGTCAAGATCGCAACTGCCTCTGGGGCAAGCCTCTTCATAAGGAAGCACGAGGAGACTAGTTTTTCCAGATACCCAAGATTTTCCGCTTTGTAAAATGTAGTAGGGAGAATAATATAATGTAGACCCATTGTTGGATTATTAATCTCCCCCCATTCCTGAGGTGTCTGTGTTCCTTTGTGCCCCACTCCCTGAAGGCTATGAAGTATAGTGGTCAGTCTCACCATCCTTTGGAGATTGACATGGGGAATGACAGAGCTATGTTCCCAAGGAGACCTTAAGGAAGGGGAATCAATGAAGAGGAGTGACAGCCATCAAGCAAATAATAGTCTGAGCAGGGATATAAAAACAATGTGAGGTGGGATGGTGGTGGTGGTGGGGATCAAAAGCAAAACAGAAAAAAAAGAGAGAACATGAAATGTTCTGCTGCACCTGACATCCAAGGTAAGGTGATGAGGTACCTCAGTTATTATATTATGCATGATAATAACATACCATTCTATTATGGGCCCTATACTGGTGTTTTATGTGAATTTTTAATCCTTGTTTAATCCTTACAGCAACACTAACTGGTAGATACTATTATCATTCACATTTTTTTCAGGTGAAGAAACTGAGGCACACAGAAACTGAATGACTTATTCAAGGTCACCAGCTTATAAAAGTCACAGCTGCAATTAGAACTCAGGTACAACTGTCCTAGAGATTTTATTATTCCTCTCAGTTGCTAAACTGCCATGAAATTTATTAGGCAAAATCACAAGCCTGTCTCTGGCCTGTGATACTAATAATTAGCAATTATTACATGACACCTGATATATAAAACTGAACATGGGCCAGGGATTTAGCTCAGTGGTTTCGCTGCTTGCTGTGCAAGCGCAAGAACCCGAGTTCGATTCCTGGTACCAAAAAAAAAAAGTGCTATACAAAACTGAACATAATCATAAAATGCCTTGGAACATGGATGTAGGGTATATGCCTCTTAAGAACAAAGTTGCTAACTTCCCACTTTCTACATTTTAGGTTTTCGCTGAGATTGGAGGCGTTCAAATAAATAAATAATAAATAGTCTTCCATGAAAATTGTATTGAGTGTCACTGTATAATGAACTACCAGGATTGGGAAGAGTCCCACATTTAACTTGCCCTTTGCAGATGGACATAAGCTGTGGGCCAGCAGTTTGTGAGGCACCTATGATGCATCAGCAATCACTTACAGCTAAGTGGGATTTTGCACTCAGGGAACTCATGTGAAGACACCTGAAAGCAGAGGTTTTTACCACTGGAGAGATGTTTAAGTTTGGGGCTGGGGTCTAAGAGTCCCAGCAGAAGGTGTCACTGCCATCATTGCTGAAGGGGGTGCCGCTGGTAGCTGGAATGTGTCTGCCCAATGCTCTCTTTTGGGCACAGCCCACATCTACGAGCCTCACTCTGCAGCCTGTAGGTCCTGGTAAGTACACTGGGAGGTGCACTGTCTCAAACCCAGATACCTCCTCCCTGGGGAACAGGAAGAAAGTGTGAGGGGAGTGGGGTGGGTGTGGGGTTTAAATTCACATTCTAAATGAGATACATTAAGAATTGACTTAAAATAACTCAAACCAGGTGTGGTGGTGCGTGCCTATAATCCCAGCAATCCGGGGCAGGAGGGAGGGTGAAGGTGGGAGGATTGCAAGTTTGAGCCCACCCTGGGCAATTTAGCCAGTCTCTATCTCAAAATAAAAAATAAGAAAGGGCTAGGGACATAGCTCAGTGAGAAATTCCCTGAGTTCAATTCCCAGTACTAAGAGGAAAAAACAAAAAACCCCAAACTCAACCCTCAATGAAGGACTCTCCCACTTTTCCTTGGGTAGAGTGCTACCTCAGGGGTCCCTGATGCTGGGGAAGGCAAGGGTCATTTGACATTCTTGCTGCAAGAGCCAGAGGTAGCCTGAAAGAGCTGGCCCACATGCTGGCTTAGGGGAGTGCTCATCCCAGGGAGCTAGTGGGGTCTCTTCCCAAATCCAGTACCCATGTGTGGGGCACTGCATGAAACGTGTAGAGCCTTCTTGTGTCTCTGAGTGTGTAGCACTGTGGCTGTGTTTGTTTGGCAAATTTGATGGATTCTGTGAGTGTTTCTCCACTTATCTGAAGGGCAATTCTTTGTCAACTGTTTCTACCTTGCTAAGGAATCAGCAATTCACACATATAATAAGGCTCACAATGAAAAGCACATTCACATTATTTTTCTCTTTTCTTTTCCTGCCTGAATGACTCTACCTGTGAAAATCTTCATCTTTTTGTGTATGCATGTGTGAACTTGTGTTTAAAGATCACAGTTTCTTCAGGCTACATGGTTTCTTGGATAGGGTTGTAAGCAGATTCCCTAAATGTGTGCTGAACCCTGGCCAAGAGACCCTGGCTTCTCTCCACTTTTATCCTTATGCCCAGATACACATTTCTTTCCCAAGACTGGAGGACTGGCAGACCTGATCAGATTAGCTGGTTTAAGAAGGGAAAAAATTTCACACACGCCCAAGAGATCCCTTAAATAATACTTTTTAAAATAATACCTAAAATAATACTTTTAAAGACAGAACATCTTCAGGTAGCATCTTTGCTATCTTGAATGTGCCCTGAGATATCCACCTTTAGACAGAATGCTCCCATCACCAATATCATGTTGCACATATTTTTGCTCAATTACTACTTATTTATTATTAATTTGTAAATGTACCAAATGTGTATTTATCTAGTGCCTGGTAGGTACCTGGTTGGTGTCAGGTTCTGAATACAATACAGTGACAGTGTACAATGACAATACAATGATAATAAAGGTTCTTGCCTTCAAGGAACTTATAGACAAGGGCAAGAGGTTATTATAACAAAACACCATGACACATGCTATTGTTATGTGCATGAGGACACAAGTGACCATAGTTTCATGGGGAGGAAAGAGACACAAGTCCCACAAACTGGAGAGTTGAGGCTGTGTCTCTAGAGCAGAGCCCTCAGCAGGGAGGTCTGTGCTAAATGGAGGGGTGTGACTTCACATCTGGCAGCTATGTGGGGATGCCCTAAGGGAGGCAGGACTGTAGTGAAGTTTCCCTTGTAGGCAGCTGCTGACATATCCCTGGTGAGATAGGATGAGTGGAGTGGGGATGGAGGAGATAAGAGGGAGCCATGAAAACTATGAGATGAAATCAGGAGAACTTGGGAATAGAGGAGGGATAGGGAGGACTTGGAGATGCTGCTGGATTTCAGATCTGGACAACAAGGTTAAGGGAGAACAAGGATTCCAGAAGTACAGGTCCAACAGCGTGTGGGAGAAAGGTGAGCTTCAGACTCTTCAGTGAACCTTTTCAGTATTTTCGAATACTCCTTAGCGAGGATGGGGATTTGGATTCTTAGAAACGTTCAAGGTTCCAGGTCGATATCATCAGAAAACTGCATTTTAATTCTTATAAAAAAGCTATGAAGGACTGGAAGTTCTGCTCTCCTCACAAGCTAACAAAGAACTTTAATTTCCTGAAGCCTAGAAGAAAACGAGATTCCTGGATCACAGAGAAAAAACCACATGTTACAGAAAAATCTTGTTTTTTGTGCTGGTTTCTCAAATATCAGTTTTCATGGGGTGGTTTGAAGTGGACTAGGTGGCTCCTGCACATGCAGGAGCTGTGTTACAGGTGGGGAACTGACCATAGAACTCCGAGTCCATTATAGAATAGGCAGCGTGCAGCTCTGCCCTTGTCTCCAGAGGGAGACATGATCATTATAATAAACAAGATCACCCTTTGTCCTGGAAGGAGATAGTGTCTGTATATCCAAAGTTATTCACTGTGCAATATTCTTGAAAGGATAGTCTTCCTGCAAGATGCGTCTTCCTGCCTCTTTCTGCAATATGTACAGAAATGGGAGAGACAATTGGAAAATTCTCACCCAAGCCTTCTTCCCTGGGCATTCATGTCCTCATACCTTTTTTATTCCAGCTTCCTTTGAAGTAGGGTTTCAGGATAGAGGACAGGGAAGAATTCTGCTTCTGTTCTCTGCATTGCTCTTTGTGGATGCTTGGAAGGGGGGTAAAGGTAGGAGAACAAATGCAGCCTCCTACTGTCCCAGAGGTGCTTCAAGAGGCTGCTGGAAGGAACTGAAATGTCATAGGCTCTATCTATTCCTATCTGTTCTATTTTTGTTCAAAGTCTAGATTCTTCTAAGCCTTCTCTTACAAATGACCATAGAAAATCCAGGGATTATTGAGCCTGTGGCTAATTAATACTAGTATACATAGTATTGGGTCTCAACTTTAATAATTTGAAAAATATAGAGAAACAATTGCAAAGACATCTTGGGAAATCCTGAAAAAATTACAGTAAAGCTTTCTTAAAACATATATGACATAATATATAATAAAGGACAGAAAAATCTAATTTAAACCTTTACTTTTCTCAGAATGTTTCTGCAAAATGCTTCTGAGTATGGGGCTGTAATTTAAATGAAGGATTGAGTTCTGAGTTTCCTTAGGTCCTTATAAATGAGCAAGTCATTGGGAATTAGAGACCAAACCCTCCTGGAGGCAGATACCCAGGTGCAGATGAGGGAGGGAACCTCCACTCTGAGGCTCCCACTTCCATGTGCACCGAGTCTTGGCAGCATGTGGGTTCACCCATTGCAGTCTCACTACTGGGGTGAAAAACTTCTCCCAGCTACTAAACAAAGTAGCAATTCCATAATCTATTTTGAGGAAAGAATCAGGGACTGAATACTCATCTTAGGGCTTGTGGTACTTCCCCCATGCCTAAATATCACAAGTGTGAAGAGGGTGACATGTAAGGAGAATTTGGCCCCCTGCCAGGATGATTTGAAATCAGATATATTGTAGAATGCGGGCAGTAGAAATGATAGTAATTTCCACTCAATTTTTATTTAATGGCTTAACTGCTTCTCTCTCCTGACTGTTCTCAGTAAATGCATTGCTCTTCGGGGAGAATCCGGTGAGAACAGAATGAATGGCTAAGAAATGCTGAATGCCAAAATGGTTTTTTCCCTATGTGTGTAATGTGAGCAATTATGATTAGTTTCAGTACTTATTTCTAGAGTATGTCATTAGCTAGAAAGAAAGAAACTTTGAACAACTGAACCAGCTCAATCTTTTACAGATAACTTAAACATTTTCTGGGACTACCAAATTTTTACATTTAATACGGATCATATCAGAAGATAAAAATTTCATGTGGTTCCTTTTGGATTTGGTGTGCATTATTTAACAAGGTAGTTAAAATCTATTTTATTAAATCACATCATGAAATTTTTATTCAAGTGTAGTCAATACTTGTATTTCACATTATAAAGTATTTAATATTTTTTACCTCCTATTAACAAAAAAGTTACAATTGTATGCTGGGTGCTGAATCAATATTTTATATGTAGACCTATACCTACATGTGGTTTGCACTTCTTTAAATATGTAGACAAAGTTTGATCAGGAATGGAGTTATTTCTGACTTATTCCTCATGATTTATACTTAATTATTCACAGATGATGAGCACAAGACTGCATTCAATATGCACACAGCCCATTTACCAAAGGCCTTGAGCCCACCCTGGCTTTATAACTAACTTATAATTTTAGCTACATATATTATCACTTTATCACAATTAAGTACAAGAACCAATAGATTTATTATTGATTTTAAAACTTTGTGGAATAGTTAAATTAACATTAGATTCTTTGTCATTTTGATCCTGACTGAAGTTCATACCCATCCTGAATGGGGGACATCTATTTTTTTAGTGATAGTTACAATATCACTTAAAAGGTATTTAAGTATATTTATTTACATTGAAAAATAAATTTGTTAGTCTGGTTTTGATTGATTGATTTAATGCTGAAGTCAGAATTTGTTAAATATTTTGCATTTTCCATAAATCAAATGGCTTAGCAGCTTCCATTTTATTAAGACATATACTATATTAAAAATACATTATGAAAGTATCTTATCTAAAATATTTTATTTTCAATAGTGTATTGAAAATAACAATGCTTAGATTTTCTCAAATCTTTCTGAATATATTAAATTAGATTAAGGGTTTCTAAGTTTATAAAATAAAGACATATATATATAATTAATAGTTTTTTATTAGATCTTCATAAAGGCATTTTGGTTGCTTCTCAAATTGTAAAAATAAATTATCATAATAAAGGGCAGGAAACCCCTGTACTTCTAATTATTTCCTTCTGAAATTTTTGAAAAATAAAAAATAGTTTTGGATAGTAGTTCACTATGTGCTTTTAGCCATATAACTGTAAATGGGTAAAAAACAATGGGAAGATGTTGGAAGAAGACTTTCTTAATTATAACCTCTTATGCGAACAAAGTTCTTTAGTGTTTACATTAATAAAAGGTAATACAAATTAAAAATAGAAAATTCAAAAAAAATAAAAATAAAAATAAAAATAGAAAATTCATATTGAACTGATCTCATTCTAACAGCATTCTAAGTAGCATTTGTTCATATCATCTCATTAAAATGAGGTGTATAAGGAAAATAACTGAAGACCACTACCCCATGCTATTTGTTATGGTTTGTGTCTAGGTGTTCCCCAAAAGCCTCATGTGGTCATAGGGCTTTTTCAGAAGTGGCTGAACTAAAGCGTGTGACACTGGGATTAAGGGTGTGTGGTTACTAAACCAGTCCACTGATTGATTTGGCACTGCCCTAATCCCAGTAGTCTGGATAAGATAAAAGGCGCAGAAAGATGCTGTTAAGGTCCCTTGTTGCTCTGCTACCTTAGAATTGCCATTCCTCTGCCCCTCTGTCATGTGCCACCCTGCCTTGGAACCAGCTGATTATGAACTACAAACTGTGAGCTAAAGAAATCTTTTCCCCTTTAACTTTGGGTGTCAGGTATTTTGTCTCTGCAACAAGAGAAAAGTAACTAAGACACCATCTAAGAGGGAAGCACTCTATTCACTTGGTTTTTTGCTCTAGAGATTTTGTCAGTTTGCTATTCCAGCTCAACGCTGCTGTAAGTCTTAGAGGAAAATGACTTACTCCTAAGTTCATGTGAAATTTTCTATGTGCTTTTTCCCTCTGCCAGTATTCCAGTCTAAAAACACCTGGTGTGCAGCAGGTGGGAGGTCTCTGCCTACCTTGTGTTGCTGAATTCCCCTGACTTCTGTTTCTCTCTTTCAGACTCTTTCTTGTCAGAACTACTTGAGCTGTAGGAATTGGCCAGAATCCTTTAGACAACATCCTCTCAAGGCTGGGGACCTCCAAATTGCAAGGACAAGCAACCATGAAGTAATGCTCTAGAATCAACACACATCAAGGCCTTTATTTTAGACTTGTATAACCACTTTCATCTTCAGAGGCTGAATATTCTCATCTGCAGAGGATTTACAAAAATCCTTTCACCTATCTTGAGAGTTGGAGCTGAGAGAAGGAAAGAAAGCTTTGAGAAGATTCTAGTGCAATTATTAAACATGAAGATCATCAGGATTCTCTTATGTTGCATGGTTTGCTGAAGTAATTTCAGTAGAATTTTTTACTGTTACAGATGCATCTTTAAAAATAAACAAATGAACAAATATACAAGTCGGGTAAGGAAAAAAACTAAGGGTAACAATGTCTGACAGTTTCTGGGAGGGAGGAGGGGGAAGATGGAAGAAATCCTGGGAAGAAGCCCAACGTCTTGGTTGTAATTTGCAGAAAGCCTTTGGCTGGCATGTTCTCTCACGCTCTTGTGCTCATGACAAAGAAATATAACCTTTGGCCAAATGCATTTTTGTTCCACTGTAACTAGGTTAATGTGACCTGACAGGTCTGGTAAAACAGCACAGGAAGAAATAATAAATGCACTTTGTGGGGCTGAATTTAATAAAGGTAAACTGGATAGGATATAAAGATTTGCCAGAAGAAAGGGAGCATATTTCAGTATAAAAGATTTTTCAAGATAATATTTTATGAACAATCTTTCTGATACACATAAGTGGTTACATTCTCAATTGACCTAAAAAATTTCCAGAATAGTTGTACCTTACTTTTTATCAAACCATACTTCTCACACGTCTTGCTGATTTACAACTGCAAAGGGTTAGAGTGAAGGTAAATGAAATCCTTTTGTGAAGGTTGTTTATAAAGGAGTATTAAGATTCCACATTAGCTGGGTGTGGTGGCACACGCCTGATCCCAGCACTTAGTAGGTGGTGGCAGGAGAATCCAGAGAATTCAAGGCCAGCCTGAGCTACATAGTGAGTTCAGGGCCATCCCGAACTACAAAGGGAGACCCTGCCTCAAAAAGCCAAAACAAAACAAAACAAAAAGTTCCACTTTGTGTGGAGCCTTACAAATACTGATATTTACAAATATTAACTATATTTAAAGATAAAATAATTTAAACTATGATGTAGACATCATTATTCTCATTTTATTGGTTTAAAAAAATTTTTGTTTTGGTGCTGAGGACCAAACCCAGCACCTCACGCTTGCTAGGCAAGTGCTGCTCTACCATTCAGCTAAATCTCCATCTACTACCATTTTATTGTTGTAGAAGTGAAACTTTTATGTGTCACAATGTGACAAGGTCAAGGTCACACCGTGGCTCATTACTGAGGGGTCAGTAAACACCTTTTTGGATTCTTCTGCCTTCAGAGCTCATTTGTTTTTTTCAACATTATACTTCCTCAACTAGGAATGGTGTTCAAATTAATCTGAAAAGTAAAATATAGTTACTTTTCCAGATAGGTCTACTTATTTCTGGATTTTTTAAAAAGGAAAATTCCACATGAAAATTCCACCATTCCCTTTCCTCATGAAGTGTGTGGTATCCACAAGGAGGTCCCAAGGGTGACCCTTCCTCCATGAGGGAGGGCAGGGAGCAGGATTTTAGGGCTATTGATGCTCAAAGTGTGTAGATTTTATTCTCTGGGGTGGCCACATGGGGAGACATGAAATTATACAAGTTTTTCCCTAGTCTCTTTAACTGGAGATTCTCTGGGGACATGGGCAGGGGGAAGGGAGTGCCCCTTGGAGGTTGTAAATGTTCCTTAGGAGGGCACATTATAATTTCCTAGGAGTCCTTGCATCCATGAGATATGGAAGAGTTGTGATTTTGAAGTGAGAGTGAAAGGGAGGGAATAAAGGCATTACAGGAAAGTAGGTCAAACAAACACCTACTCTAACCTCATCTCCACCCCTGGCTGAATCCCATGACCCTGGCTGGCTATTTGAGAGCATCTCTATATCCAGGGCAGCTGGATTAGGACCATCCTTTAGAGACTCTTGGCTGTTATAATGTCTGTGTTTGTAAAAACAAATTCCATTGTTTGAGACTGGCCTTTCTGCTCCCTCCAGGTGTCAGGTTCCACTTGGTGCCAACTCAGACAGGTCAGCAGCCAGAACAGCCTTCATTTTCATTATTGGGGACAATGAATGGTTATAATATTGGCAGCAGTGCTTATTAGAATCATGGTTCTGATGCTCATGTCACTGACTTTCACTCAGGCAGCATGAGGAAGTTAAACCTGGGCTGAAATGTCTGGTAGCCAAAAAGGATCCCTTTGATTGTTTCCATGGATGAGGTCAAAGAATGTGACCTTATCAGAGTTGACTGTATGCAAAAACAAAGCATCATAATTCTGACATATATATTAAATGTGCTCCTGAAACAAGTGGTAAATAATGCTTCCCTCAAAATGTTAACTTAATATATCTACTGACCTGACCTATGTTGGGTTAGTATATATGTAGAAAATAAGCATAATGCATCAGACAGCGTCTTTTGGAAGTGGCCATTAGATAAATATTAAAAATAATTAATGGCTCCTCCTGAATAGGAAAATGTGGGTTGCTGGCGATCCCCTGGTTGCTTAAATGCCTGTACTCTTGTCTTACTGTAGACACTGTTATTATATGAGCCTCATGCTATCATTGCACATCCGCATATGAAACTCATCTGAAGCTGCATCAGGTCAGGGTGGCCAGGTGTACGGCAAAGATGCCTCAGCAGATTGAGGGTGTGTCACAGTGACCATTGCTTTAAACATTCACCTGGGGGATGGACACTTTGTTCTAAAATGGAAATAGGCAATGTTGCTGTTTTCTTACAAACTTCTATACACGGAAAAATCACACTAAGTTTTTCATGCAGCACATCAGGAAGAAGACATACCATGTACATGTAAGGTTTCCTTGTTATCCCTTGCACAGGGAGGGAAAATGGTATTCCCAGGAGAAACTAGAAACTTGTTTTTGTTTTTTGTTTTTGGAAGTACTGGGGATTTAACTTAGGACCTTCACACTGAGCTATATTTCCATCCGTTTTTATTATTTTCCATTTATATTTTCTTCTTTATTTGTCACTAAGATGTTACATTGCCTAGGCTGGGCCCAAACTTAATGATGCTCCTGCCACAGCCTCATAGAGTGCTAGGATTACAGGCATGAAGCACCAAGCTCAGCTCAGAAACTTTTCAGTGCAGGTTCATGTAGAAACAGAGAGAAAAGAACATAGCAAAATACATGATGGATACTTTTAAAGGATTAGGAAATTACAAAGTGCTCTATAAATATACATCCAAGTCTTCGTCATGTATGCAACCGTTCTGAATGATGCTGGTTTGGAAAATGACTTAGACAGATCAACAATGTGTTTTATTAAATTTACTCTTACACATTTTACAGAAAGCAGGGTAGGTGACACAGCCATCTTGTGTATATTAACAAATATAAGCACCCAAGAACCTTAAAAAAGGTGGGGTGTGTATGTCCTCAGTGCTATAGCTAAAGTCTTAATGGAACTGTTCTTTGTTTTAGTACTTTCAGAGTTAGGCTATGGCAGCTTATTGCTGTAGAGCTTTATTTTTTTGTAAAGTCACGTTTCAGAAACAGAAGGAAGGTCAATCTCACTTTCTGAAAGAGAAAGAAAGGTGACTCTTGTCATAATAACATAATGTAACGGGGTCCCCAGGTGGAATCGAGAGGAAAGGCAGACAAGGTCCTATAATGTCGCAGCTGAAAGGAAGCTGACGCCAAGGAGCTTCTCAGAAGAACAATGACTCATTAGCGCTGACTCCAAACAAGATTCAACCCACCCCCACCGCCACCTGGCCTCCCTCCAAAAGCAGAAGGAAAGGAAGAAGGCACAGCCAGGGAGGAGGCTGTGAGAGGCTGGCCTGCTGGAGAGGCTTCCTGGAAGGCCCAGGGCAATGGGAAAGTGCTTGGGCATCACAAAATTAAAAAACAAGTGTCAGCTGTGAGAAACAAAGAAATGCAAATAAGTTTGAATCCAAACAGGATGGATAAATGAAAGTGTGAAATCACCCAGAGCTCTGTTTACAGCCGGAAGGCAACTCCATCTGTAATTACCTGGGTGCCATTAGCTGCCTGGGAGCAGCTATCAAGGGACACATAAAAGATACTACCGGAAGTTAAGCCTCTTCCCATGATGAAGCAAGTTCTCTGAGAGTGCTAAGTCTACCCTGAATTGAACCATTTTGTACAAAAGGGCTAGAAGTGTACCTTTGGTGAAATACAAAGGTTGGATTTTCATTATTTACTGCACATTTTAATGTAATTCTTACCACTAATTAAGAAAATGGATGATAGGAAATTCGACTTTAATAAACATACTGAGACCTATCACAGCATTAGTTTGCCACAGAACTTCCTGCAGCTGGTATCTGCGCTTTGATGGACTTGGTCAAGGTCACCCAAGTGGAGTTGAGATTTGAGCCTCAGTCTGTAGTCCTGGATTTCTGCTCTTTCCAGTGCACCAAAAGTGCTCAGCTGAGGGCAGTTTTTCTCTCTAGGTGACACTTCACAATGCCTGGAGATATTTTGCATTGTTACAACTAGGAGATGTCCCTGGTCCCTTCCAGATAGAGGTCAAGGAAGCTGCTAAATATTCTCCAATGCAATGAAGAGCCCCCACCGCAGTGAAAATTCTACCCAACACATCAATAGTGCCTAGCATTGAGCTTGAGGTAGGCCACCCCTCAAGACAGATAGAATTGTTTAGGCAAAAGGAGGCCTCAGACACAGAGTGCTCACCAGGGGTCTGAGAGTTGCTAGAAGTGAATGAAAAAAATCCTAGCTCTACTTCACAGACAGGGAGGAAGGGAAGAGGTGAGGTACTAAAAATTCATAATGTTATCAGCCATAAATGCATTCTCAGGTTGCTCGGCTATAAATTGCCCTTTGAAAGCCCGAGAGATAGTTCCAGTGCCACCTGAAGCCACTTGATAGCTCCTTAACATCATTCTGCACTGAAAGGAGAAGGTAGAATGGCTCTGGCTTTTTCATGGGTTCTTTATTTGTCTTCTGGAATATTAAAGACTGATGTCTCACAGAATACAAATAAGAGGTTAATGTGATAAGAGGCTGAGCTGATGGTGTCCCTAGAAAATTTAAGTCTAAAATGTCAGTTGAAAGACAAAGAGAAAGATGGGGTGGCTTTTGAAAAATCTCATTGGTAAAGACATAGAAGATTTTCTTAATAAAATGTTCTGAACTAAAAGCATCTCAGAAGGATTCTGAATTTAGACCAGCTAAACAGCATCAAGGGTTCTGGGGGGTT